GCACTCTCTTACTGTCTCTCACTCTCCCTCCCCTACCCCTCTCCCTCTCTTACTGTCTCTCACTTCACCCTCCTGCACCATGCACTCTCTTACTGTCTCTCACTCTCCCTCCCCTACCCCTCTCCCTCTCTTACTGTCTCTCACTTCACTCTCCTGCACCACTCCCTCCCTTACTCTCACCCTCCTGCACCACTCTCTCACTGTCTCTCACTCTCACCCTCCCTCCCCTACCCCTCTCCCCCTCTTACTGTCTCTCACTATCACCTTCTCACCCTCCGTGCCTCACTGTTTCACACTCTCACTCTCCCTCTCGCCCTCGCTTACTGTCTCTCACAATCACGCTCCCTGCCCCCCTCTCTTACTGTGCTCTCTCTCTATAGGAGCTGACGAGAAAGTGTGAGAGGAAGCTAGGAGACGAGCGAGAGGTGCTGGAGCTAGAGCTGGACAATATGAAGCTGGAACACGCTCTGAAGCTGCGCACAGAGGAGGAGGGGTCGGCACGGCTACGCAAGGAGCTGGAGGTGAGAGCTCTCGTTTGCTCCATCTAATAGTGCATTTATGTAAAGTTATTATCTCAGATTAATAACATAGCAGATCAGATATCATATGATATTTAATCATAAATTATGAAAACTAGTTATAAATTATATATTGTGACTTTTGTGTGACTGTGATTTTTAGGTCGCTATAACATGTTTACTAGTCGTGGAACAGTAACTGGACTTTTTGCAATTCTCAAAAACGTCAGGCAGAGGCAGAGTCTTGTAGAGTGATGAGTCTCCTTTCTTCTTACAGCTGTGATTTTACTATCTTGCTTTTTTCTGCTCGTAGGAGAAGTCCGAGGGCTATGTAAGCCTGAGTGGTGACTTGGAGTGTGTGAAGAATCGCTGCAACAAATCGAAAGCTGAGAAGGATGTGCTGAGAAAGGAGCTGGAAGTCTGCAAGCAACAGCTAGATGATGCCAGGGAAGACAAACTCCTGATCGAGGTATAGGCACAGAGAGCAAGACAGAGATAGAGAGGGAGGATGAGATGGAGAAGGTGGCAGAGATAGAGAGGGAGGCGGAGATGGTGAGCTAGAAGATGCGTGCGTGGGAGAGAGAAGGAGAGAGAGGGGAAGAGAGAATGAGAGAGAGAGAGAGAGAGAGAGAGAGATGGGAAGAAAGAGGAGAAAGAGGGTGGGGTGGTTAGAGACACACAGAAAACAACAGAGAGAAGCATTCTCTTAGTTGCTATAAGGTGCATATTACGAGAATTAAGCCATTTCATGTTTGATAATTTCAGTGATTGAATGGTAACTTGATATGTTCCAGTATGTCAACTCAATTTCCATGTTATTATTATACGTTAATAATCTTGTGACGCTGTGTGCAGTAAAAATACACATTGTAGTTTAATTTTCATTCTAAGTAAATTTGTATTATGATGCAGAGGCAGATCAAGGAGTTTGATGGTAGATACCAGAGGGCACTACTGGAAGCTGAGGCAGCCATCAACGAAAGATTGGCAGAACAAAAGGCTAGCTTAGAGAGAGCGTGGACAGAGCAAACCAAGTAAGACCTGCTGTTTGTGAGAATGATGGCGAAGGAAAGATAGCGAGCTAAAAGCCTTGTCTGAATACTAGATTATATCCTTTGATGCCGATCTCTTTAAAATCCCAACAAACACAGTCATCAGTGTCCTCGCTTCTGACAACTTATAATTTAAAAAAAACATAGAGTTAGGAAGTTTTAAATACTTGGCAGATTTTGTACTACAGATTATTTTGTCACTCATGACAAAAGGAAAGTCCATATGCCCGTGTTTTGCTCAGTTGTTTCATCTTTTCCTAACATAAAATCAAAAGGCATTACTGTGCGCTATCATACAACATGGAACCTCTTGGTTACCTTGGTTTCTTGTTTACCTGGTCATCTTTGCGCAGAACTGTGCAGACTTGGGGCAAACATGGTTGTAAAAAATCGTAGCTATCGCAAAAATAAGCCTGCCACTCTGTGCTAGACTGTTGCAAACACATTAGTAGTTCAGTCGAGTTACTTCCGTCGTACAGGAGGGAATATGCGGAGTTGCATCGTAAGCTGACGCGGGTGCACCAGGAGGACCGCAAGATGTCGCTAGCAGCGCTGGCGCAGGATAAGGAGCAGGAGCTGGTGGCGCAGAAGAGTGGCTGGCAGAGTAAGATCAGGGATCTACTGTTGCAGGTGGGCGCATGTCGAACACACACATGCCATGATAATAAATAACTAATAAAATTAAATATAATAAAATAAATAAAATAACTAATAGTAATAATGGTAATAATAATAATGGTAATGATAATAATAAAACTAATGATGATGGTGGTGATAATGATGATGATGGTAATAATAATATTAAGAATAATATAAATAACATTATGTACTTTTCTCAATTAAATAGGTTGGTTACCTTAAAAAAAACCAGGAATAAAACAGAATAAGACAATAATTAGGTAAAATAAAAACAGCTCAACAACGACACAAAGTCTTCGCTCCCTCTCTCTCTCTCTCACTCTCTCTCTCTGCGTGCGCGCTACAGATTGAGCAGCTGCGTGAGGATCTGACGGAGAAGTCGATACAAGCGAGTCGCGAGTACGACGCGATGCGATCGCAGAAGCACGCTGAGCTGGAGAGGCTGCGACGCGCGCTCGACGCCGCCGCGGAGGAGCGCGAGCGAGAGGGCGCTACCGGAAAACAAGAGCACGCAGCCGCCGTCGATGCGATGCGGTCGAACCACGAGAGGCAGGCAGAGGTAGGCTGTACTGGTGCTGCCGCCACGCGATGGAGGCAGAAGCAGGCTGCACTGATACTATCACCGCCTTCCATGGGGTTGTCGTTATTGAGTCTGATCGGAGCAGTTGTTGTCAGGATCAACAAAAGAAGCTGCATGCTGAAGCTCTGATGACGTACTTATAACATCATTGTCATCATCGGCGTCGTCGTTGTTGTCGTTGTCAGGAGCAACGAGAGAAGCTGCATAGGGAGCACGAGGAGGAGATGCAGCAGCAGCTGGTGGCTCATCACTCGGAGATGGAGCTGGCGCATCAGCGCGCGGAGAGAGCAAAGCAAACAGAGCTTTCAGCTGCTGCATCGCTCGCATGCAGAGCAGATCGGTAACTCATTCCATATCTTTATATGATTTACTCATTGTCTTTTATCTTTGTTCATTCCATATCTTCATCTTCATTCATTCCATATCTTTATCTTTATTCACTCCATAAATTTATCTTCATCCATTCCAGATCTGTATCTTCGTTCATTCCATATCTTTATTTTGATTCATTCCATGTCTTTATTGTATCCCCGAACGAAGTCGTGGGGATACTATGGTCTTGCATGCGTCGGCCGCCGCGCAGAAGATTTCCTTGTGAACGCTCTACCGGTGCAGGTCTTCTCGGACATCTTCTTCAAATTATCGCCATATGAAGGTGCGTATTGATAAAAGCGAAGTGCCTATCGTTCTTTGGTGTGGGCGGCAGTCATCAGTTAGCCATTGGTAACAACATTTTTGTTCGAAATATTCTTAGCAACTGTACTTTTGCACTTATTTACCCGCATTGCTATGAAATTTATATTTTGTATTAAAAATTTGTATTTAAATTTCATTGATTGTACATCAAATTATTAATATTATATACATATATATATATCCCGTATAATATAGGACATGTTTATCGACCCTGTGTGCCAAACTTCCATGACAAATCGCGGTTAAAAACTGCACAGCTTACAGCGCTTCTACAATATTTTTCACAAAAATGTGCTTAACATTGGCACGGATGACTCACCCACGCCATAAACGATTGGGGTCTTCGCTTTACATAACGCCACCTTTTCATAGCAAATTGAAGATCATTGCCGAGATATGGTAAAAACTGCCCACCAGTCACTCGCGACCTTTATTTCACCTTACCTTGACCTTGTCATATTTCCCTTCGCCCCTCTCTTACTCGGCCACTAGATTGGACTGCCTAGCGCGACCAAACTTGGGTATTGCCTTACACCATCTTCAGGGCGAGAAGGCCATGTCGCCATACCAAAACCACCACTGCCCTTGACCTTAGTTTTGACCTTCCACCGTCGACTTAACATTTCCTCTTCGGCCTCTCTAGTAGGGTAACCAGATTACCATATACTTGCCACATCTGAGAGCCACACCAGTGTCCTAAAAACCTTTGTCTTTGTGCACTTTATTTAACTTTAGCCTGCCCTTCTACGTCCTTACAGAAGGATATTCATTCTACTTAGATCAACGGCGATACATGTATTGTTTGGCGACAAACTGCTCGTTTCTAGTTCTGTATTCTGTATCATCTTTATTCACTCGATGCCTGCTCTCATCATTCTTTCAATATCTTAATGGGTTTAATTATTTCATAAGAAAGAATTCCCTGTCGCAACCCTGATCGATGCATTGTGACGCTTGGTAAGTGCTATTACCTAGTCGTAATGGTACCAATTAACTGATACCAGAGGTCTCGCAGTGCCATAGCTCCCAAGTGCAGTTTTTCAGATTGGCAAATGACCGGCGACAGAGATATGGCTCGCAAGTGCCAGCGTGTACAATTTCCACACTGCGACATTTACTGGTACACAGAGTCATTCATGGCTCGCAAGTGCCAGCGTGTACAATTTCCACACTGGGACATTTACTGGTACACAGAGTCGTGGCTTCCCTGTGCCCCCCCACCCTCCTCAATGCCTTTGTGTGCACACTGGTGCTAGTACATCTGGATGCCGGAACTGATTTCCTAGGACGCTTGTAGCTGCGTCGCGGCGCGCGTGAGGCGATGTCACGTGTCGTGATTGTGTCGCTTCGTTGCAGAGCACATGCAGGAGAGCCTGGTGCAGACGTACACGTCAGAGTTGGAATCGTGCCAAAAGACGCACAGCGCCGAGGTTCTGCGTCTGAGCGCTGACCTACAGAGGGCGCTGCGCGTCACAGAAGATGACGAGCGAATACTGCGCAAAGGTAGTGGAGCGTGTTAATTCGCGCGTTTATTTTATTTTTATATATTATTTTTTGTAATTTTTATATTTATTTTACTTATTCAGTACCATTCATTGTGATCATGATATTATTTATCGAACTATTTATTATTCAGTTCGTTTATTAGCTCATCTGACGAAGTCAGATGCAGCTTGTAGAAACTAGAATCGTATGATTGTGTCCTGTGCGTGAGTCCGTAGCGCATGCTGTGCGTGCGCTCGCTCGCTCGCGCTCGCCCGTCCAGAGCTGCGTACGTCCGTACGTCTGTCAACAGTTGGGTACAAATCTAACGGCTCGACGTACGATTACGAAAGTCGGGCGTGGCGGGGTAATCGCAAACGAGTTGGGATGTCGAATCTGAGAGGTCAAAGGTCAAAGGTCAAGAGGATTGCTTAAAAGAAAGGGGAACATTCCCTCCTTACACTTCAGGTATAAGGGGCGAAATGCTCAGAATTGCGGCACAAATCTAAACGGCATCGACTTAGCGCCTGCGTGATAGTCGGTGTATAGCATCATGGTAGGAAAAAGCCATTCACTGCTGCCGAAATTGGAGGGTTACAGGTCAAAGGTCATATTGGGTCACAGGGCAGATTTTAGACATTTTACTCGGCGACACTGGTCTGACGGAGCGAGTGAAAAACATTTTTTTGTTAGGAGGGTTAAAGGGTTTACAGGAGGGTATAAAATTGACTTTATTTGACTTTAACCAAATGGACTGAAACTTGCTTTTCTATTTTAGATCCATAACTGTGATGAATGTGAGTCTACAGTTGCTTACAGTTGATTGCAAAGGCAAATTTTGATTGAACAAGCGTTTTACGCTCCTTAAATCATATTATGTTCTTAAAGCAGTCTGCCTATTAGCACCCTGAAGGCTGAATCAGTGAATGCTCGCGTCGGGTATGCCCAAAAACACGGCGGCAGCCCATGGCTGGCCACGCTTCTAATTCATAATTGTTGCTTGCCCAACCTGCCTCAACTACATAGAGATTAGGTGAGGTTGCGAAGTGTAGTTGATATATTTGTTCGAATTGGCCCCTACGAAAGCAAACAAGATAAAGAAGACTTATGTATTAGACGTCTTGCTATGCCACAATTGAATTATCAGCCAAGAACACCAGACACAGATGAGCCGTCGCACATGTGCCGCACTTCGTTCTATTTATATATGTTTACATTTTTATTTTTGATTCTAATTTCCAACTTTGTAATTAAAGAAATGTCTATTATTACATATATCATAAATATATATTATTATACATCATGTATATTATTATTAATCATTGCATTATACATTTTATATGATTCTTATTATATAATATATTATTATTATAGGATCATCGAGAAAAACTGTGCACAGCGTTGCTTAATGTTATTAACTACGTTTGATTTATCGAGTTGTTCACGTTTTCTGCCACCAGGTGGAGACACTACAGGAGGAGGTGAGGCACCGCGACGGTCACATCGATCAGCTCGAGAATGACCTGTCCGCGCACAGGTCACGCCTCGATGACGTCATCAAGCAGCTCGAGTTCAAAGGTCACGAGATGATGAGGATGCGAAGTGAAACCAGTGAGCAAGTCAGGTAGCGAGCGACGCCTGCCGTTGGCGTTCCCTTGGTCATGTAGGGTATCGTATGGATGGTGAACCAGTCAATCACGTTTCCTTGCTACGTGAGAGATTGTATGCCAGTCCAGTCCCCCCAATGCCACATCGTGTTTGTTGCTTGGGGTGAATGGCACACGTTGTTTAATTCTTTCGCATTCCATTGGCTACCATGCTGTTGTAGAATGTATATATATATATACATTTGTGTATTAGATGTATTTTTATATATATATATATACATTTGTGTATTAGATGTATTTTTATTATTAGATTACTTAGTTTACTCGTAGAATGCATCTGTGCATTTTTTGAGTGGTTCTACGTTACTCAAAGCCTCGTTTGCACACTGGTTTTACGCTCTCTCCGCGCTCTCTCTCCTCCGGTTTACATTCGCGTGTCGGTTATGATGGGCTGTTGTGTATAGCTGTGTTAGATACTCGCTCTCTCGCTCTCTCGCTCTCTCTTTCGACTCTCTCACCGCTCGCGCGCGCCTCGAACTGTGATGATGTGCTTAGTTTCAGAATAGACGTAGAGGTAGAGCTGTCTGGTTGACAACAGTTCTACACACACACACACTCTCTCTCTAGCTCGCTTTCTCGCTCTTTCTCTGTCTTTCCTGCTCGCTCTGCTCGGCTCTCTCTCTCTCTCCTTCTCTCATCTCCTCTCTCTCTCTCTCTCTCTCTCTCTCTGTCTTCTCCTCTCCTCTCTCTCTCTCTTCTTCTCTCTCTCTTCTCTCTCTCCTGTCTCTCTCTCTCTCTCTCTCTCTCTCTCTCTCTCTCGTGCTCGTGGCTTTCTCCTGATCGTTGCTGGGTCTCTCTCTCTCTCCTCGTTCTTATCTCTTCTGCTCTTCTCTCTCCTCGTCTCCCCCTCGTGCTCTCATTTCTTCCTCTTTCTTGCTCTCTCGTCTCTCTCTCTTTTGGTTTTTCTCCCTGTCTCTCTCTTGTATTATCTCTCTCTCTCTCTCTCTCTCTCTCTCTCTCTCTCTTTATCTTTTCTCCTCTCTCTCTCTCTCTCTCTCTCTTCCCTCTCTCTCTTTTCTCTCTCTTCTCTCCTTCTCTCTCTTCTCTCTCTACTCTTTTTCCCTCTCTCTCTCTCTCTTTCTCCTCTTTTCTCTCTTATATCTTTTTTTCCCCCCCGTCCTCCGTCTCTCCCCTCTCTCTCTCTCTTCTCTCTTTCCTCCCCTCTCCCCCCCCGCTTCCTTCTCTCTCTCTCTCCTCTTCTCTCTCTCTCTCTCCTTCACCTTTTCTCCCGTCTCTCTCTCTCTCTCTCTCTTTCTCTCTCTCTCTCTCTATCACTCGCTCGCTCATGCTCACTCACTCCCTCTCTTCGTGTGCGTATCGATCAGAGACGATCAGAGAAACCTCTGGTGTCTGGGATTTTTGTTGTTGCTCTCAGGTGTTGGCTTTGGTTTCTGATCCTGGCGTCCGCTCTCCTGCTGATCATGTTATGTTGCGGTCGGCTTGCGGCTCTCATCCTACTTCCGCCATCGACCGCCCACCGCCGCAGCCGCCGCTGCCCCTCGTTCTCTATCATGTGTCGGCGATTGTCTACGCGTTGCCCGCGACACTGCTCGTGTGCCGCACCGCTTGCTGGTCGCGTGACCTAGAGCAGCGGCCGTCGTGTGACCTTTGCGTGACCTTATTGCTTGAGACACGGCCTGTGTAACTTTGCGTACCCTGCTGGCTCTGCTGACCCCGCGTGACAGCGCACCGGGTTCGCTTTCGTCCTGCTGCTCTGTGCTGCGGTCAGCAGATCCGCTTACCGCCTCGTTAGTTGTGGTGGCCCGCCATCTGCAGATGCATCGCTGCTGATTGCCTGGGCCTCCTCACAGGGCCACTGTGCGAATTGCTTGGACACTTCTTTACTCGGTGTGATGTCACTGTACACTGAATGATTTTCGGCACGTTGTGCTGTGTTGTCTGCATGCATTGTTTGCTCTTGCGTCTGGTCGTATGCTTTCACTTCCAGCGCTTTTGTGATAACCTCTGGTTTCTGAACTTTTTCATACACACACAAATATTCCAACTTCGTGATATCTTTAATGTGTACTCTGATTTTCTTTTTCTACTGCTGCCGTTTCCATTATTTGTTGTATAAATGCGTATTGGAATTCGTTCGACGTGCTGCGCCTCTTCATTGCGACGTTATTCATGGTCTGGTGTTTGTATTATCCGTAATTCGGTGATTTACGTGTATATATCCTGTTGGCACTCCACCGCGCATTTAAAGATATCGAAATTGTTTGAGTGGAATTTCATTTTGAATGCATGGCTCTGTTGTCAGACGCTGATCTTATATGTGATTCAGTTATTCTAGCCTGAAGCCCAATGTTCTAATTACCAATTAGACATGACTTATGCAAATTACGTCACTAATTATTATGCCAGACACGCCATGATATCCTTATCTGTAGTATCATATTTATCTATCTATCTATTCTATCTATTTATCATTTCTATCTAGTATCTAGCACTCTATCTATCATATCTATCTACTCTTATCTATCTAGCTGATCATATCATATCTATCTATATATTCCTATCTATATATCTATTCTATCGTATCTAGCTAATCTATCTAATTCTAATCTTATCTATACATTTAATCTTCTATCTAATCTTCTATCTACTCTATCTATCCTATCATAATTATCTATCTATTAGCTTATCTATCTATCTACTTCTATCTATCTATCCTATCTATCTATCTATCTAATCTTATCAATATCGTATCTATCTATCTATCTATCCTATCCTATCTATCTATCTATCTATCATATCATATCTATCTTATCTACTCTATCTTATCTATCTATCTATCATATCTATCTATTCTATCTAGCTATCTATTCGTATCTTATTCTTATCTATTTATCATATCATATCTTATCTACTATTCTTACCTACTACGCTACCTACTCTATCTATCTTAGCTGATCTTTATATATATCTATCTATCTAATCTACCCTACCTACCCCCCCATGATCTATCTATACTACTATCTATATATCTTATCTATCTAATCTAATCGTATCTATCTATTATCTATCTACCTACTTATCTATCTATCTATCTATCTTACCTCAATCTACCTATCTATCTATCTATCTATTTATCTATCTATCTAATCTATACTTTCTGCTCTATCTGTGATTGTCTCGTCGATATATATATATATATATGCTTAATGGCACCCTCTTAATCCCGTATTTTATTCTATAGCAGCGCGGCGTCTTGGTTTTCTGCGGAGTGAAGCTGGGGTGCTTGGGTGTTGTGTGTTTGCAGGCGCTTACTGCTTCAGCTCTACATCTATTCGGGCTGCTTCTGCCGCCAGCACATCTAAGTGATGTCTGTATGTGTGCGTGCTTCATGGTATCATCTCCCCTAGTCCCTACTTCACAGTGATGTCTGTGTATGTGTGTGCTTCATGGCTTCATCTACCCTAGTCTTTACTTCTCAGTGGCACTCCCTGCAAGCCGCACCAACCCTCCCTCGAATGTCAGGAGTTCTTAGTTACTGGGTTATTCCCCTGACTAGGTTTTCCTTGGAAACATTGAATGCTGGTAATAAGTTAGTAGTCTTTAGTTACCCACAATAGGGTGCGGGAAGAACAAGTTTGGTGCAAAATTCGGTTGACGTCATCAGAATGGTATTTTTTAGTAGCGTTTTTTGTGTGCTGATACCTAGCGAATGCCATGTTTTTAGAATGCTTTTGAGAATCTTTGGAAGTGCATTTGGAAGTGCTGTTTCAAGGTGTGAGTGTGTGATGTGAAACTGTAGGGGACATGAGCAACGGTAGCATTTTGGTTGCATCTTGCTGTTGCGGATCTGTGGTTGCTATGGTGATAGCTTGTGAAGTATATCTGTATGATCACTGCTTTTCCCAGCGTGTTGTTCGACCTCTACACCGACATAGTAAGCTAAGAATCAGTTAACAGATTTGTTTTCAGCTTGGGCCGTAACCCCTGGGGCTGAGGGAAGGCAAGGGGGCAGCCGCTCTGCCTAGATTGTTATAAGAAGAGTACAATAAAAGCCTAATAGAATCAAACATAACTCAACAAATGTGTATATCACGGCGTGGTCATTCGTGAAACCCTCGCCTCAGACCCACTAGAAATATTCCACATTCCCTTTAGACATTTGCTCAGGCTATGCCTCTGCTAATCCTGAGTCAGTCTACTAAATATACATATCGAAGCTATCTATAATATACATCCGAACAAAAAGTTGTTTAGCCACTGAGTCTTACCTGTGCATGCATGCGTGTTAACCACTCATCTGTTGCTGATATTAGCTGATGACGTAGCTAATAAC